AACATGCACCTGTATGTGAATACGTGCACGTGCTCGATGCAACTGCATCACCCCCGTTCTCCCTTCCTTCCTCGCGCTTCGTTCATAATTCAACAGGGCGAATTAAACGAGCGAGGGACGCGAGTTCTCTCGCGTGTCATTGTTTCTATTGCGAAGGCATAAACTAGCGAGAGAGCGGATTAAGCAATATCGAGCATTCTCCGCTTCAACGAACGAGAGACCCCCCTCCCGCCTCTTCTTCTTCCCTTCATCTCTCTCCAAGAGAGCGCTTTCACTTTCCGTGTCATTTCGTACGTCACTCAGCTATTCCATTTTTTTTCTAAAATCGGCGGTCATCGGGATATTGCTGTAATTGATATGCGAGAATTGCATAAATAACGAGCTCGGCGATGGAATAAACGACGTGCATAAATAAATTAAGCTTACGACGCTACAATGTCGTCGTTGCAGACGCTCTGCAGAATTGATTGAGGACTGGAGAATAAAATGATTATGAATTTTCTTTCCAGCGAGACATTTTATCAATGTTATATCATTACTGTCACAATGTCTTTTGTATTCGAATAAACGCGTTACATTTATTTAAATAATAATTCTTCAAAGTTCGAAATTTTCTTTTGAATAAAATGAAAGTCTTGCGAATTAAATTAAATTAATTCGTTTTTTTAAATGTAAAATTACAAGATCAATATCAAGATCAATATTGAAATAATAAATTGATCAATCATTTTATAAAGCTCGCTCGTATACTAGAAAATAGCATTCTGGAATTTAAGAGAAAGTACTGTGGTCGTTAGAAAAAGGACACGATAAAAAAATAAGATATATAGTCCTACGGTCATGATACGCTTTCGAAGTGTTTTTCATTTTGACATTACGTAATTTTTATTTATCGACATGTGATCGTTCTTCACACACGACGGAATGTGTGTGCAATAAGCGGCGAGATCAAACGTCACGACTTACAAGAGGAATATAGAGTAACCTTTTTGTATTTTCTTCAAACAATGAAAATAACATTTCAAATAATAATTTCAAAGGCTTTTATCTACGGCAGTTAAACGTTTTTTATGTCAAATCATTAATTTATACATGCCTAATACGACCAGTCATCTAATTAAGCATGTACGAGAAGATTAAGAAGATGTCATTTCGCGAACGAAGAGTAATAAAAAGTGATTTTAATTCAGGAACATTTCAAAGATTCCATTCAAAATTCAAATCTATGGAGACACGAGACATCTCACCTCGGGTAGGTCTTTTTTTTCTCGCCAAATAGCATACGCAACGTACCACGATATCGTATAAACTCCACGTCGAGACGATGATCGAAACGGTGATTCGAAGTGGTACGATTTCTAATGACCTCTACGAAAGGATCTAACAAAAATAACACTTTAACAACATATTCTCAGAGCATAACTGTACTTTAGATAGAATAACTCAACAATGCGGCGGCCATGATTTTTCTCACCGCGTGGTCACGATTCTCTTGTCGCATTCCTTCGCACACGACCAGAGGCCTCAAAAAGATCTGAGCACGGTCACCTACATTAGCATTGTGGAGAACCGAGCGTTGTTTCCTACCGTTTTATCCTTACTTTCATTTTTTTTTTTTTATTAATTGCCTTTTCAGGAATTCACGCCTTCGCATCTTCGCGTCTCTACGTCTTTGCTCGTATGATATCTGAATAATTTGAGAGTGGCAACAAAATCTTTCTGTTTCAACGTCATCTCCCTTTGTCACATTCATGGCGTAACAATAATAATCTGATCTCTTTTTTCCGACATCTTTATTCCGCCGGAGTATCTTTGAAGTTCTCCGACGTAACGTAGCTGAAAGCTACGTGCTAAAGAGGAAAAAGATTTTTGAGGCGACCGCTCCGAACTTTGGTACATTAATAAATAGCTTCTCCGCCTATCAGCGGACTTTTTTTACTCTTCCTTGAGCACGTTTAACGTGCACGGATCGTCTCCTCCGTCCTTCCCCGTTTCTTCGCCCTTTCTCCTCTACGGGTTTAATGTCAATAACCGTTGCATTAGTTGACGCTTCATTACTTTCTTTGCAGCGGGGTGCCATCCGCGGGTGGCACATGGTCGCCGCGACGCCGACCGCCGATGCCGACGCCGATGTCGAATCGCCGGCGTTGATAGCCGGTGTTGATAGCCGGCGTCCATCATGCCTGTTTCACGTGGCGTCGTCGTAGCGTCACGCTCGGTGATTTGCTCGCCGGAGCAAAAGATGTTCCCACGGTGGTTGCACCGTCGCCTGCATCCTCTTTGTCTTACTTTGTCCATACCGAAGACGAGTCCCTAAGGCATCACCTTGTCCTCGAAGCACCGGACAAGGAGATCCAGTAAAATCCACGTATGGAATTTCTCTCTTTCTGCACATTAGAGCATCGCCGAAGCGAGCGACTGACGTATACATGGACGAAAAAAGATATTACATGAAAACCGTCGCATCTCTCAACTATGAATTCTTTGATCGGTCCGGTCAGATTGATTTTCTTTTCCTCTTTGAAAGTCAAGAAATTGAAGAAAGATTTAAAATTGTTTTGTTAATGTGTTAAAGAATCGTAAGAGGGAACGTGGGATAGTTTGGAGAGTGCCTCAGACGGCGTCTCGAGCTTCTCTTTACGATGCACCATTTTATTTCTCGCCGCAAGATGACTCGGTGCGGAGTAAGCGGTACAAAGATGAGAGGAACGCGGCAGTTGCAACATCCGCGGTCAGGTCTCACGTGCAGCCGATGATGCAACATTCATGCATTTTGTAACTTCGGAGCCAAAAGGCCTTCCTATCCGACGCATTGAATCAGATAAAGTCTATCAGATCAAGAGTATAAAAGAACATTGGGAAAGATCTCCAATTACGACGTTTATCGGTCGCATACGTTTTAGAACGCGGAAGCCAATTTTGCCGAAACAATGGAAATTTATTCGCACGTTTGCTATATTCTAATGAGGAATCAAAGTGTACGCATAGTTACGAGAACGCGCGTACGCAAAGTACTCGTGCACGTTCACTCGTCACATTATCCTTGATTTCACGTGTCAATAGACTTAGCCGTGTCGTTCTCTCTTACTCGCGAATGTTTTGCGACCTAACGTTATTCGTTCATCGACGTGATACGTCAGATCGGTTCTCCATGAGTGATTTATTAGAACTATGACTCGAGTTGAACGAGATGATTTTGCGCAAAGTTAAACTGAATCTGCGAATCTTATGTTTTATATATATATATATATAAACATATATATATATATATATATATATATATATATAGAGAGAGAGAGAGAGAGAGAGAGAGAGAGAGAGAGAG